CCTAGGCCATTCTGTGATTCTGTGATTCTGAGTCTATGATCTTTTCCGCTTCCAGACCCAGAAAACTTCTCCCCTAGAGCAAGCAAGTGAGCACTAGGAAAATACATTTTTGATTTAAAGTATAAGCCAAGTAACTTTGTGGGAAACCTTCTTCATCCTTTCTCAAAGCCCACTCTGGATGTGGTTGATGATTCATATAGTTGAGTAGTCATGGTTGGGTTGATGGTTGGACTTGATCATCTTAGAGGTCTTTTCCAACCTTAATGATTCTGTGATTCTCCATGTGGTGCCACCTGGCTGGTGTGGTTGGAGTGAACAATAGTGATGGCAAGTCCAGGGCTGAGTTAGTCTTGTGGACTGGGGTGACTTCTTAAAAGTGCTGCAGTGGAGTCTGTTCTTTTTTTGTTTTGTTTTGGCTCCTTTTTCTTGTCCCTCTCCATGGCCAGACCCGTTGTCCTGAAACAACTAAGTTGTATTGCAGAGTTGCCGGGTGAAGCTGGTCTGATTCATGCCGGGGAAGAAGAGTCTTTGCAGTGAGACACGCAGCAGCACTCTCAGAGCAGGTTTTGCTTAGTTTATTCAAGTAATAAATGATAAACTTACAGGTATAAGTAGTGCTTGCCTTTATTTCCCATCGCATCAAGACTGGAGTTTTTCTTCCTATCCAGAGCTGTACCTGCCCAAGGGACCTTGTCTTTTCCCAGGCCCATGAAATACGACTACTGGAATGTTCTGCTCTACGGAGCCCCCTTACACTTTCAACCCAGTCTTCTTTCCATCCTTCTTGAATCCTGTTTTACCTTTATTCCTGAAGTAAGACAGTCTCGCAGCACATCTTCTAGCCAAAGTTAATGCTTCAGGAGCTTCAGTAGCTGTTTATTCTGGTGCTCGCTGGCTTCTCGTTCCCCCTTTTGTGCTGGTGCATCTTGCTAAATGTGGTTTTGTTTCAAATTCTGCTGTGCTGAAACCAGCCTGGTGACTTGAGCTGAAAACCAAGGATTTGTTTTAAGAGACAAAGACTGTACAGAACACCCCTGTTTGAAGTGCGGTACCAAAGAGCGTGAAGCATCAGTGGAATGCTTTTGTCATATTAATACAGTGCAAGAGGTTGTGGAGAGACCTGTTGAGGGTAAAGGCCATCAGAAACACAGCAGGTGCGTTTTATGCTGTTGATGTGTTTGCAGCAAAACCTGCACGTGCCTCTCTTACTGACTTTAATTAAATCAATTCAAGCAGAAGGCATTGTCCTGCAGTGGGTGATTTTTAATAGAATTAAGATGCCTTTCACCCACTGTGTTGAGAGCATTCTGAATTTGCCCTGGAAGTGGATTTTATTTTTTTCCAGCTGTTAGGCCAAATATTCTTCTTTTACTTCATGTTACTAGTAGTTTAAGTAAAGAATCTCTGGAAACTTAGATTAGAACATTTTCATGGTGTAAGCATAGTTGTTTCCTGATAGTATTACTGAATTCAACTTCTGTTTCTGACCTAAAAGTTTGATAAAATGTACATTTGAGAAAAAACTAAAATAAAAATCACGGGATTTCTCCAGGAGATGCAGGTTTGTGTTTTTTTTTTTTTTCCTTTTTTGAATTAGGCTATCCATATGAGCACTAGGGAAATTATGTGCAATTAGAAGCTGAGCTCTAACCATACTAGAAATGGAAACATTTGATTATTAAGTTGATATTTAATACGATTGCATATATGAACTTGCAGCTCTTGATATCTGAGCTTTTCGATCTAGCTTCACTAGTTCATCGTGTAGCCGTGAACCTCTTTTCATACAATCTCAAATACATAAGTCCACTTTTATTTTTTTCAGCATGGAAATAGCTGCACACATAGCGGAATATGGGTATCAACTCCCAGCGTTTCTGAGACCCTCTTGGCTTCATGTGTTTGTCATGTCTGCTTTGCAGTGTCTTTAGCCCTTTTCCAACAACTTGTTGAGAAAAGCTGTATGGTCTTTTAGTTTTTTTCATAATGACAGATTATACTAGATATTTAAAAAGTTAATGTTTCTTTTTTCATAAGCTTCTTGAGTAGTGACAGCAATGAATGATTTTTTTGTTTTGCTACAATATTAGTAAAGAACAAAAAAATTATTTAGAAGACAAAACATCCAGCTGGTAAGACAGATTTTTGTAAAAAGACCTTTCTGAATAATATATCTGCCATTCAGTAAAGCCAATAACTCAACGTACAACACAGTCCTTTAGAAGTGTCTCTCTCATAAAATCAACATATTGAAGACAGGAAAAAAGCACGGGAGAAAATAACCCAATAACGACCACCTGTGCATTTTTTAAATTCTATTTTTTAAAGATTGTCATTAATAGTTTCTGAGGAGAGCAGAGGTCTGAAAAATGACTCCTACAATAGTTATGTTGGGGCTGAAACTTAGCCAAGCACTAACTTTGCAATAGAGAAAGCCAGGAGAACTTGTTGGTCGGAAGGATTGGTTTCTTTGTGGGTGATAGTGGTGTTTTCTCAAGGTCTGTGCAGTCAGTCATCTTTAGCTAATAAACTCTTTTGGTACCACATTTTGTTTTGCAGGTTTAGGAGAACTGCGCAGCTGTTTTTTAATATTTCTACGTGAATCTCATTTTCTCTTGAAGTAAGTCATGATTTACTGAGAGAACAAGCACTGGGCAGCCTGCCAGGTATTGCAAACTGGATTTTCTCTGTGCTGAGTTGCGTCAGGGCCTGCTCTTTGTGGGAAACTGCCTCTCCACCAGAGCACCGAGCACTCAGCGTTAAGGAAGCTCTCAGCGTAACCTTTGTGCAAGCCTGTGCAGGGTGATGATGAGCTGTCTCGATACGGCATCGCTGTAACTTATTTTCATGTCCTTCTAGGACTTTAGCTTATTGCCAATGGGTAGAAAATCTCCATGAGACGCAGAAGATGGTTTCGCTTTTTGGCCCCTTCAGCGACTTGCTGAAGTGGATCTTCTGCCACCTGACCAAAGGGATCGTGAAGCGGGAGATGTACGGCCACGGCATTGGCCGCTTCTCGGAGGAGGAGATGTACACGCTGATGGAGAAGGACATGCGGACCCTCGCAGGCCTCCTGGGTAACGTACAGCGAGTTACGCGCCTTCCGTCTGCTTGCAGCCCGCCGCCCACAGGGTGCAATCAACTGCGAGTACTTCCCAGCAACTTGATCACATACACAAATTATCTCATTTTGTCCATAGGCAGAGTCTACACTGCTCCCGTTATTCAGTGCCGCCCTTGGTCTGGCAGGGACACTGTTTGTTTCCTCTCTATTTGCTACCAAATCGTGTCTCCAGAGGGGTGCTCTTCTCTGAGCACCAGGTACCTGTATATCTAGAAGAGCAGGAAGTGGCCTGTGATTTTTGGAAGAGCATTTTGCTGTATGAATTTAGGAGAGCATAGTATTTAGTTCAGCAAATGATACCTTGTATTTATATTTTGGGGGGGAGGGGAGGTGGATGGTGTCTCATTTATTCTTCATGGGACTCATGGCTCTTTGATGGACTGTTGAGAGGCTGCCATTTGAAAACCATTTGCAGATGATACTTTGATGAGCTGGACTTTGTTGTACCTGAATGTTGTTAGTGGCTTTATTCAAACCTGCTAGTAGGAGATGGGTCTGTGTTGTCAAAGTAGGTGAGTTTAGGCTTCCCGGTTGTCTTGAATGAATCCCATAGGGTTAATCTTAAGGTTGACCTTGCTTAGCTAGAACTGCATGAGTCTCATTCCTGTTGTGTAGCTCAAGCTGAAATCTGCACCAGAACTGTCTACACCATGCTTCTTGCCTTGCAGCCTGCTGAGAGGTAACTGTATTGTGCTTCTGTGTAAAATTTGCATTTTGAGGACTTGGTTTGGGGCAAATTGTCCCTTCCCGTGAGTTCGAATCTCTCTTGCACAAGAAATCAAAAGAGATGGTACCTGTGTGGCTGCTTTGTTCCCTGTTACAGTCACTTTAAAGAGGTGGCTGAGTGGAGGGCAGGAGGGGTGCCTCCCTGCCCTGTGCTCTGAAGGAAGGATTTTTCACATGCTCTAAATAGATAAATTTGGAGTCAATGGAGGGAGCAGGGTGAGGAGAACCCAGCAGAAGGCAGAAACTGAGTGCTTGCTGAGAGAGGAAAAGAAGAAGGATGTTTTTGGACTTCTAAGGTATTTGGAAAGGAAGATGTTTTCAGAGGACCTAGATGAGGTTGTGTAGATTTTTCTGTGACTTTGTTTTCTGAAACAAACCTACTGTGTTGCTGGTTGGGAGTAAGGTGGAAGAAAGATGCATGGTGCATAGGCACAATGGGCAAGGGGGAGATTTGTTGTTGACTAGTCTTCTGGCGGTCTTATTTTTTTTTTTTGTCCCTTGTCATACTGCCTTTTGTTTGCTAACAAAAAAGTTACCTGTTGTAGTGCCACTTCAAAGAAAAGCTACAAAACCAGGTTAAGAGGTCCATTTTCTTTGTGGGGGAAGAGAGAAGGGAGCAGCTTATTCTATAAGAGGAGGCACATCTGCTGGGGAGTTGTGGCCAGCTCAAGGTGCCCTCGACTGTAGGTTCGCTGTGGCCGTAGCTTCAAAGTTTGGCATTGCATGGCTCCGTGTCTGTCACAGAGAGGAATGAGGTTGGAGACAGGAGTTCCACGTGTGTCTTGGGAGCTGGTCAGAGCCCCATGGTTCTGGCTGGACAGCACTGTCAAGCTGAAAGGAGTGGCGGCGGATGTGTTGATGCTAAAGTCATCCCTGTCTGCCAACAGCAGGTGTAGCCTTCAAGAGAAAACTGAAATGTTTTCCAAAGTACCCGTAAAAGTCTCTTGGTTTGCTCGTTTGAAGTCTGTGTCCTGTCTCTGGAGTCTAAACTTAAACTCAGATTTGTAAAGTTTCAGGTTCAAAGGGATCATTAAATCGTCTAGACAGATCTCTCTGAATCGGACTGCTTGGTTGCTGTAGTGAGGCCTGTGTCTTTTTTTTGGCTGTAACACATCTTTCTAAAAGGCATTCAGTTTTAATTATGAGATTTCAGCAGGCGGAGGTGCCACCACTTTCATTAGTAACTGGTGGCAGATGTTAATCACCTTCAACATCTGTTCAAGAATTTGACCTGTTTCAAATCGGACTTTGTCCGATTTCAGCCTGCAGGCTGATGCTCCTCCTAGTTCTTCCTCCCTCCCTGGGTGCCCTGAGTCATTTCCTTGTGGAGGTAAATGCTGTAATAAGTCAGTCTCTAACTTTTGTTTTTAGTGGGGAAAAACCCACTGGAAATCCTCAAGGATAAGTTTTTTTTTTTCCTTCACTATATGTATTTTTTTAATTATGTGATACATATATTATCGGGAGGAGTTTTATATTAACTTCCGGATTATCGATGAGGATGTTGTGCCTTGTGTAGTTGAAAAAGGCTTGATGGACATCTGCTATAATACTATTCTACCACATTATCAGCTGAATATTGTACTTTTTTTTTTCATCTTTCCCTTTGAAATGAATGTCAGATTAGTCAGTGTGAAGTTATGTGAATCATTATGTTTGCCCTTTCGATTATTGGAGCATTTGTCTAGTTTTCTACAACTGCCTTGATTTTTCTTTAACACCAGTGTGCTCAGGTTTTCTCCAGCTAACTGGTTGTGGTTGGGTCTAGTAACTGTGGCCTCCAGATACACCACCTGGGCTGGGGACAAGAGGTAGGATGAAATCTTCCAGCCTGACTGGAGACTCCTGTTTGACAGGGGAGAAGGAGAGGGCAGTCAGTCAGCCTGTTGCCTAGACAGGAATATCTGTGAGATTGCCCTCCACGTGTATGTGCCTGTGTATTTTCCCAGAAGAGGAAGCAGTTGGGATTTTGGCTGTTTAATTAGAGGGCAATCTGAAGAGCTTAAAAAGAATGCCTATCATGCAGAGTAGCTGCACGCACCAAAGTAGCTGTCAGTCATCAGGCATGTCACATTAATTTAATGCTCCTCATTTTTTAACGGAGACCATTCACATGGGAGCAAAAATAACTTTTAAATTCCAAGAGCTGCTTCCAGAGAATGATAACTTGGCAGCTGCCAGGTCTTGTGACATTCATTTTGACGTTCCCAGTCACATCCTCAGTGCTCTTTTTCCTTTCTTGTTCATTTCTGAGAATCATTTTTTCTTCTTGCATGTACCATTTCCCTAACAAACAGAGTCCTCTAGATGTCATATAGATGTGGAAATTGGAGTTAATCCTCCTGTGATGAATCAGCCTTCTCTGTTGGGCATCATCTTGCTCTCTGTCCTGCAGCCTTTAAACCACAAATGTAATTGGCTTGTGTTGTACTAGTTTCCTTCTGCTTGGTAGTAGTGAAGTGGGGGGACCTGGGCACATGAACTAGCGATATATAAAACCACACATTTCAGTTATTATTTAAAAGATGCAAGTGAGTGAGCAGTGCCCATAAATCTGTTGGTGCCATCTCAGCTGTCTGCCTGCCATCCAGCTTTTGGGTAAATGGGGGTTTTGAGCAGGGAGTTGCAAGGCAGCAGCTGTCTGAGCTGGCTTTTGAAAAGCATTTGCTGTTTTGTGGAGGGCAGGGGTGCTCAGAGTTGAAGCTCGGAGGTGGAACACAGAGGTGGGACTCACCTGAACGCGATCCTCTAAACACTAGTTGAGATACGCTGCAGCAGCCTGCCCAGGCTGGATGTGCTGCTGTGGAAGGGTGCAGGTCACTTGCTGGCCTTGTGTCTTATAAATCTGTCTCTTTACTAGGGTTTCTTGACCCAGTGCTGAATTAGCTGCTTTTTAGTCCTCCTCTGGTTCATAAATAGCAGAGCTATGTGCTGTCAAGTCCCTGGGCAGTACAGATTTGATCTAAGTCCACCAGGTGATACCTTTCTGTTGGATTAGCCAGGGGGTGTGATGAGGTGTTGGAGATTATTAGCACCGTGGCAGCCTCGATGCGAGAGGCTCTGTGTCATGTAGCATAAAACTGGACACTGAGAGATGGTGTCTGATCTGCCAGAAAGTCTTCTGGAAAAACGTTGCACTAAAGTTTTGGGAATGGATTGGAACTGGTAGAAAGAAATGTGCATGGAGGCTGTGCTACGCAGTGCAGAGTGATATAAAAGCAGATTCCCGATTTTATGGAACCAGAGCTGGATTTCCAACTCTTTCCTTTTGTTTCCATCCACCTGAAGGTGCAGGTGGGGTGCTTGGGGAGCCACTCTGCGAAAGAGTGGGATGGTTCAGCCCTCACTCGCTGCTGTAGCGAGATGGCAATCGCAGTATTACATCACAGCTCAACGTTGTTAAGAACTGAGCCTCGTGCCCGGTTGTGTAGTGCTGTGTTCCTAGTGTTGGCATGTAACTGTTTTGGGCACCAATTTTTTAGCTGCTGTTGAAGTTGATGAATGCTAGGTGCCTCATAAATACTGAAAAGGAACAACATTTACCCTGCACATAGTTTTCAAGCAATAGATTGATGCAACTGCGAAAGAGCTGGGGAGAGTTAACTCCACGTTAAAATTACATCTGACAGGCTAGGAGAGGTTATTACTGGTTATTGCTGCGCTCTGCTTTGCTGCACTATTGTACAGGGGGATGACAGCATTCATTGTACTGTATTTGGAATTTGATGCATTTTACTGCTGGACAGTTTTTCTAAACTCGCTCAATAACCTTAACATTTAATAACCTGCTGAATTACAGGCAGCTTATATTGGGCAGGGGAAGTGTGTTCTGGGGAGATGGGATAACTGGATTTGGTGAATCCAATTACTTACCACATTTCACAGAGTTTATAGCACTTTGGGCCAAGGCAGGGACAATGCAACCATCTGACCTCTGCAATACCTCACTCATGTTTCACCTGCGTGCCCTGTGTGCGGTCTTTGCTCCGGGTCTTGTGCCTGTGGTGAGGAAAGAAGTTTATACCGGACATTTCTTGCAAACAGTGGCTTTGAAATGTGACTTTATTTCCTACCTCAGGTAGTTAACCACCTGTTTGAGCTGTGGTGGCCACTTAGGACCATTATGGCATTGGGGTGCCCAGAGAGGTAAGCATAATGGCTGTGTGCAGTGGCTGTGTCCCTTCCCTGGACCAGGCCAGTCCCAGGCTGTTTCACTTGCCTGCCTGGATGCCTGAGGTGCTTCTGTTTGGTACCTGCCAAGTAGAAACCAGGGTTTTGAAAGCGGGGGCGCTGTGCTGGTGGTGTGTGAGAGGAGCTCTTCACTTCTGCCTATGGCTGTATCCTTCTGGAGATTCAGGTCATTTCTGAGCAGTTGCTGACAGTCTTGATGGGTCTGCCTGTTTCACCCTAAACAAATGATGGGAGAGGAAAGCTTTGATTACATCTTTCCTTTTTTTGAATCCAATCAAATGAGTAACCTAACACTGGAGAGATACAGGGTGACTGGCTTCTCTCAGCAAGTGCATTTGTGATTTTGAACTGTGGTTTGCACTGAAGGAGAAAATTGTGCTTTCACGCACCTGTTATGTGCAGAGATTTTTAAATGCGGCAAAACTAGTGCAGTGGGTCTGTGCTGCCAGCTGTGGTGAGTGGAGCCGGGTACTTGGCCAGTGGTGGTTTTGTAATTTGCTTTGTTATAGAAATGGTGAGCACAGGAGAGTCTGAATAGTTGAACCTTTTCAGCTATATTATTTCAGTAAAAAACCCCACACGATAAAGATGTAACTAGGGACATTATTTATTTTTTTTTAAATTGGGATCAAGTGAGATCTGGTCGAGACATGTTTGCTGTTGCATTTATAGGTGACAAGAAGTACATTATGGGACCAAATGTTTCCACTGTTGATGCCACTGTCTTTGGGCATCTGGCGCAAGCAATGTGGACGCTACCAGGGACTCGACCAGAGAGACTAATCAAAGGTAAGAAATCTTCAGTGATCTCTGATGAAAAACTCTTGGTGGCGTTTGCAGTGTTTAAAGTTGGAACACCTTGTAAGGACATCTGGAGACTGCAGCAGCACTTCAGCTGCATCGCAGGCTGTTCTTCCTTTTGATATAGCATTTGTATCCTGTAATGTTGTTTTCTCTTAAAATTCTTGTTTATTTTCTCTGTCATGTTCTACATGTTTCTATCCGTAACATGTTCTACGTGTTTCTATCCGTACTTGGTCTTTTCCCTGTTTAACACAGTGAAGACTGAATGCCTCCAAGGTCTGATTGCTGGGTAAACTATGAGAAGGCAGAAGCACAACCGTGAGCCAGATTTTGCTGAACTGAGTAGTTTCATTGATGGTAGAACTACTAGTGCTATCTGTTGTCATATTGAACTTACAGCCTTTGCTGTTACTGAAGATGCTGGGCAACGGAAAAGTCCAGCCTGTCTTTGGTGTCACCATTTTTTTGTATGAATTAAGAACCAACATCCCCCCCCCCCCCCCGTTTTTTTTTTTTTTCCTTTTTTTTTCTTGTGGGGTGATACAGGCATGTGAAAGTATCTTCACATGCCCTTTCAGAATGAAACCATGCAGTATGAAAAATGGGAACATCTAAGATGGAAAAGGATGTGAGATAGGTATAAAAGGAATGAATCTGACTTGGAGATCTGCTTTGTGCAGAGCAAGCTACTAAAGCAGCATAGACTTGCTCATTATTATAACTTTGAGGGAAAGAAAATACTTGAGATGAACTATATGGGCAGTACTTGTATCCTCTTCTTTCCCTGGATATCTGGGGAATCACAGGAAAAAAAAATGAAGGGTCCATGCCTTTCACGAAGGAATACCGTCTTTGTTGAACTAGTTCATTTCCAAGTCAAATAAATAGATGGTAATAGCATGCAGTATGGATGATTCTCTGTACTCATCCACCTACTCATGCTATTCTAAGTGCAGGTTTCACATACACGTTCTGTTTAATATGCTGTTATTTCTTTGTTCTTTGAAGATTTTTGTGATTTCTTCTCTAAGCACACTCTAAGCATAAACATATTTATAAGCATAAAGTCTAAGGTGCCAAGGCTAGGAACACTAGAGGTGAGCCAACGAGCATGAAAAACCCTGTAAAATGTGAGTTTATCTTGCAGACAACACTGCCATCTGGTGGTCGAACCCCCAAATTCACTGTTTAATAGGTGGTGTATATAGAGGCTTGAATGATGTCTTTAGAAACCATGTTTCTGCAAAATAAGCATGAGTTTTACTATGAAAAAGGGTTAGTATCATGTCTTAATTTATTTCTGTAGGAGTCGAATTTGGGATAGTTATTTTGCTACGTGCATTTATGTTCATTCCAGTGTAACCCTTCTTGTATGTAGGTTTAAGTTACATGAAGTTTACAGATGGGTTCTTGACATTTTGAAACCTCCGTGGAAGAAACCTGCACAATGTATTTCCAAACATTGCTAACTGTTTCTGCATCAGCAGGTGAATTAGAGCATTATTGGCTGGATGTATTTACTGGAGTCGCTTGTGCTGTGTTGCAGGTGAATTGATTAACCTTGCTATGTATTGTGAAAGAATAAGGAGGAAATTTTGGCCAGAATGGCACCATGATGATGATAACACTCTCTACGAATCGGAGGAAAGCAGTGAAGCCAGCAAGACTTACTCCCCTTTGCGGGACTTCAGTTTTTATTCAAGGACAGAAACATTTGATGAGGAAGGGAACAGTATTTCTCAAACCCCTGACACAGATTACACTGGACACTCCCTCTTTGACTCGGATGTGGACATGGATGAGTACCGAGATCATGAACAATGCAAGTGATGTGTACAAGCATCTCCCATTTTGCAGACAAGCTATTTCTTGGGATCAATCTGATTTAATTTCTCCTTCAGGTTGAAAAGAGGTTTATACCACTTTGGAAGAGACCGTTGTGCTTGATTTAGCTGTCACATGCTACCTGGACTATTTCAACCTTACTTCATTTTGTGTAACTATTGAGGTGGAACCAAGGTAAACAGTTATTTAAAACACGTGTGAGCAAACTGGAGGTCTAGAGGGCAGCAGAACCTTTCAATCTGTGTTTTTATGTTCAAAACTAGATCCTGCAACCAGGTGGGACAGACCTCTGGGAAGTGGAGCATTTGTCAGAACTGGCTTGTGTTGATCTCTTATCTTTACAGCAGGGGATTGAGGACAAAAATGGAAGAGGCGTGACCAACACACCTTTCTCCCATGGAAGAAAATGACTGATGCTGTATTGATTTAGTGGAATTTTGCAGGGAGGGGTTACTCAATAGCTGTCTGGGTGCATATGTTTTATTACAGTGTCTGCAGGAAAGAACTGCTCCCAGTTCTTTTGGAGACAGTCAAGGAAGGCAGGAGGAAAACGTATTCCCACAGAAGGAAGCTTTTTGGTGTTTCTTATTCTTTACAGAAGATTGAAAGCGCTACTCTAGAATATTTTTATTCAAGAGGGAAGTGTTGAGTTTAATGTGTAATCTCCTAGACACTCATGTGGAATGTATGTTGGCCAAACTTCTTCAAATTATTGTTGTTACACTTTTACTTCCCTCCACTGTTGTCTGCTAAGCAAGGCTAAAGAATTGGGATTTGTTACTACAAGCCTGTTGCTGTCTCAGCAGTGGGTGCTTTGTGCTCCTTACTGACAGACACGTCAAACCCATGAAGTTCGCAAGGCAATTTGAAGCATTTCTAGGCATGGGATACTGTGTAAATGCAAGATGTTGGTGCAGGCAATCAAATCCTTTAGGGCTGCCTGGAAAGGTGCTTCAGTGGGTGCTGGGTCCTGTACTGGCCTGCAGTGCACAATCCTTAAAGCCTGTGCACGGTGGGCAGTTAAGATTTAAAACAGGACAGCTGCATTGGCACTGCTGCAGGTGGGGATTTCCAGGTGCTGAAAGCGTGGCCAGAATTGATTTGAAGCTGCCTTTGCTAGCACATCCCTGAATCTGGAAATCCAAATCCAGAATCATTGCACAGGTGCTGCCATGCTTTATGCTCGTGTCTCCCTAAATGCAGGTTAGAGGTGAGAATGAATCCATTGGATTTACTCACCATTTCGAAGGTAAACATATACATCAGTGTTGCTTGGCTGTGACTGGTTTTAGGTAGAGATAAAGCATATGGAACATATAGACAGCTGCAGTATTTGTAAACATGCATGCAAAATTGGGTATTTGCCTGCAGACTTCAGTAGTGGTCCATTTAAAAATATTTTAATTATGACTTTCTCAATGGGTTAGATGAATTGGTGATGATCCCTCAGCAATATTTTTATAATGTGTTTGCTGTGCCATATGTTCTGGGAGCAGACAGGGCAGACAACTGCTTTAGGATGTTAATTACTGGTAGTCCTAATAGTCTGGAGCTTGAAATAACTCCAGCTTTTGAGGAAAAAGACTCCTGGCTTGTGGAGTGTCTCCTGCAGAGGAAAGCGCTTGCTCTGGGGAAACATTGAGCTAGCTGTGGCTCTGAAAGGAGGGGGGACACATCTGCTGTGAGTTCTCACGTCTGTTCATGCCTGGGAGCCACCACAGCGAGAGACGACAAGTTGGATGTGGCCTGAGATGGGTGTGAATTTGTGTGTCTTAGTTCCCTCGGCATGTCCTTGGAGCCATGATCTCGTCAATGGTCTCCGTTGTTGCGGGCAAGTATCATTTGCAAAGTGAACCCAAAACAGAGAAAGAGGAAGATGCCATGCAGTAACTTGGGACCCTGCTCAGGAAACTAAACACAGGAATAATGCACAAGAGGGTAAGTCTTAGGCTTGAAAGCACAGAGGTGGTAGCCTGGAATGCTTGTAAAACTTTATAGCCAAGCCAAGGGCAAATTCTAACGGTAAAAATTTAGGTATCAGTATTCTGGATAAACGGCATCCACATCAAAAAGCTCCTCATTAGAAATGTTCTCATTCGTTTACCCACACGTGTTAGAAGGCTGTGCTTTCTCCATCTTTCCAGCACTGGGAGGGTGAGCCTCGAGCAGATGAATCCCAGCCACAAATCACAGTTACTAAAAGACCAGCTCGAGTTCAGCGGTCAGTATCACCTTTATAATTTTGGTGGCCTGACAGCTCTGTCTGTGGCAGAGGCCCTCATAACACCTGGAAGTGTGGGTTAACTGGAACTCAGCGACTTCATTTTCACCCTCCTGTGTGTGTGCAGCTGGGTCAAGACCCTGCGTGGCTGCACGGAGCAGTGGCTGTGGAGACTAGAGATGCCAAGGTGAGGCACAGCCAGTATCACTCCATGGCCTCATTTGTCCACCAGCACTCGGAGCTGCTGGCATGGTGGGTAGAGCCGAAGGTTTTGGAGTTTCTTAGGGCTGTGGTTATGTTTGCACCTGATATTTTTTGCTTTGCTTTTGTATAACTGGCATGCCTCAGCCGAGGCCGACCCTCACCCTGAGCGGTCAGGTAATGGGCTTCGTCCCTTGTGAGGGTGAGGAAGAAAAGATCGGAAAAAGGAGAAGCATTTTTTAGCTCTCTGCTGAGTTTATCAGGATGCTCATCAGTGAGGTGATGTATTTTGCAGCTTGTCACATGCCTTTGCTTTCTGAGGGACTGCCTGGGTTCCTTTAGAGGAGAATTTAGTTTGGGAGAGGTAGTTGACTTTCTCCTTGTGACAGCTACTCTTGATAAAGTCTGTGGGTTTGGGTTTGGTCATGTTTCACACTAGAGGTGAAATTAGAAAACAGCATCTGTTTAGGAATTTTTAGGTGTTGCATTTAATTCAGGTTTGGTAGGAAGTCCTTGGGTTTATTTGTTTCTGGAAGGGATAAATACTGTTAGACCTCTTTAAAATGATTTAATCTGAGCTTTTTTGCTTTTGGAAGTTGATCTTGGTGAAGTGTTCGGGGGGCGGGGGATGGGGAGGGTATAAGTTATCCCTTGCTGGAGCTCCTGCTGCTGTGGCCGAACGCTCCTTGTGGGGTGATGTAAGGAAGAGTTTAGGGACCCTTGTGACAAGAGTCAAGTTGCTCTCTTGAGAGCTGCCAGCACCAAACCTGACTGTGGCTGCAGCTGCAGCCCTAGGCTGGTTTTTGTTAGATGGTGGTATGTGGTCCTGGCAGGAGGAAAGCTGGTTTCGGGCTCTCCAGACTGTCCATCCCCTCCCAAAATAGGGCAGGAGCCTCTTGGAGGAGGCAGCGGGTAGGAGAGGATGTGGATGTGCAGAGGGTGCCAAGTGGTGGGTCGCCATGGGAGGACTTGTGCTGACCCTGTAGCCTGGCTCACACCGCTGCTCCAGCAGTCGGGCGGGAGCCCTGACCAGCTCCTGAAATGCAGCATGACCTGTCGTCCTGGTGAGGAGACAGTGCCGTTAATCCCAGTTACTTTACCTTAAATCCTGCCAAAGGCCGAGTGCTGCCTTTGTTTCTGTAGTGTTGCTTTAAGAGAAAGGATACTCGGTGTGCTCCTCGTTTGGCACATGGGAGTGTAGAGCGGGCAGGCCCTGCATTTCCAGTAGAGTGAGGTTTGAAGCAGTCTGTTGTTCTTTTTCATGTGAATTGCAGTGTTTGACTGTGTAATGCTCTGTCATGTCAGAAGGGATTCGTTTACCCCTGTCAGACTCATTGGCTCTGTCAGCAGAGCTCACTGTTAACGAGTGGGGGTAACAGACGCTTGGCTGTAGAGGTCCTACAGAAATCCTACAAATGCGGTGCTTGATTTAAAAACCGAACCGAACCTGATGTTTCAGGTCTGGAGGACTGTTTCCGTCCAATTATAACACTGCAAGTCACACGTTTTGATCTTTAAAACCTTGGCAATGTCCCTCCAGATCTATGTTCTCTTTGAAAAAATATTGCCTGAAATATTTCTGCAGCAACAGTTCAGGCACAAATTTCCTTTTGTCAGTGATGTCTGCTCAAGTAATCATGACAATTTCCTACTGTTTTCGTTGAAGGGGCTGTATCTGTCAGATACTAAACCTTACAAAATATTGCCTGCTGGAAAAGTGTGTTACGTGCAGTTTTATGCAGGGCAACTCACCAAGCAAAATTTCTGTGGCAGGGGATGAATTCAAGTGGGTCTTGTCCTTAGATATTTGAATAAGAATTTGAATCTGTTTTCTGACAAGTAGCTATTTAGCCTAACCTCCCCCACTCCCCAAATACTGCAGAATGATGAATTAGGCATGTGCTCAAACTAAAGCAGATTATGCCCTCTCTAAACGCAGAGTTGCATTACACATATAGAAATGGCATGTGGGAATGGGTATACGTAGTGTAGGTGTGAGTCCTGCACATACATGTTGGTGGCTGTGATTTGAAGGAGTCCCCAGGTCTTGGGGTTTAATCCCACAGACCAAGAGCACTGGAGGTACCTGAGCGTGACTGCTCTGGTGTTCAGCAGTCGATTACTGCTACAGGTACTCGTGTGTGCTGTGCTGAGCTTTGGGTGTTTGTTAGTGCTGGGTAGGCAGCACAGGGACTCGTTTCAGAAGCCAGGTTGTTGGTAGGAAGGAGGGGGAATTTCATTTTCAGGCCAGTGACCCCAGTCTTTAGAGTTTTGTCTTAGTGGAGAAAAGTGTTGCAATGTCAGTCAGCTCTGTCTCGGCGGTTTTGGGCAATTTTTGCTTTGGTGGCCATTGGGGAGGGCTTCTCTTGCATTCCTTCCATGTGGAAGTACCCTAGTGTGAAGTACTTCTCAGCAGAGTTTTCTGCAACTCCCTGGGGAGTTGGGTTAAAAAAATGGAATGTCTTTGTACGGCACAGGAATCTCAGTCTCTGAAAACGTTCAGTGTGGCACTACAGTGCTAAACTGTTAGTACCGTGTCCTGGTTGCCCTGCTTGCAGATTTT